ATATAGATCATTAACTTTGTCAAAATTATATTTTCTCACTTATTTACAAAAACCCGAAGTGATGCCATTACACTCCACTAACTCCACTTGATACGACATGCTCTTAGACGACATTGGAGTAAACAAGAACACAGAATTTTGTGAATAGGTAAAAGTGATGATATGAAATTGGATTGAGAAAGGTAGAGATTCAGTGCTAGATGCTAGGACAAAAATAGTCGGACCACAATGGTCAAGGGGATTATATAGAAACTGGGTTTCGAAGAATCCCCTAACAGATTGATATCCTATTTAGCAGAGGGGATCAGATTAGATAGAGATGTGTACATGAAACCCACAAATGCAGGCTTCCTTTTAAATTTATTCTCCAATTACAGTTTTGGGGTTAAAGTAGGAGTTATGAAGTTTATGATAGTAAGGAGCCTGATTCTAGCAGATTTTAAACATCGGGACCAGGGACTGATGAGACTAGGGAGAATTCTGATTGATAATAATTATCCACGAGTGCTGGTTGACAACTATTTTAGAATATTGTCAAATAGAATGAAAAGTAATACATATTTGGGCTAGATAAAAGGTTAGACCACTCTACCAGGGTCCTTATGCTGCTATGGTGTAATCTGTCGAAGAAGATGGACATCAGGACCATTTATAAAGAGAAAATAACACTATCTTCGGTATTGCCTTCTTTTCGAGAACACTCTGACCAGCTCTCCAAATCGGGCTGTTACAAGATTTTGTGTTCATGTGGTAGTGCCTATGTGGGAGATACCTGTAGATCCATACAAAAGAGGCTATTCGAACACAAAACAGTCTGCAAAGGTGTGGTTCTTAAAATCATAAATGGTCACAAACATGGCTCGCATAGGACACCAGATAGACACGTATGATGCAAAACAGTTAGCTGGATATGAAGACTATACCAGCAAGCGAAAGATTAGGGAGGCGATATAAATCAACAAAACAAACAACACCCTAAATAGAAGGAATGAGTGTAGAAAGTCAAGCGAAAACTACTTGTGACTGTTGGATAAGCTTAAGGAGAGAGAGGTGGAACGAGAAGGACCACCGAGAAAAAGGAGGCTTGATTAGGCTGGAATCTGGTTTTGATTCTAACATCACATTCATTTCAAGAGCACTTCACTCACACAACACGCGTGCAATGGGACGCAATCACATGAAGTAGCATTGCAGGATCAAAGGCATAATTGCCAGAAGTTTAGCCGGCATCGTCAGTGAGTCTCGCTATTCGTAGCACCATAGTACAGTTCGTCAAAGAGACAAATGAAGCCCATCCTTTGACCGAGCGTGTGCTAAACAGTATCTCCCCTTCTGCCCTGGCTTATTCACATTTCCTATATCCTCCTATCATGCATGTGAATAGCTCAGGGCAGAAGGGGAGATATCACAACTGTTTAACTCACGTTTAGTCAAAGGTTCGGCTTCATTTGTCTTTTTGACGAGTTGCAATATGGTGCTACGAATGGCGAGACTCACTGACGATGCGGGCGAAACGTCTGGGAATGTACGACGTCCAAAGTCCTACTCTGCAAATGATGATGCATACAATGGACTCCAGACTAGGTGCATTCCTCTAAGTCTTCCTACCAATATGACCAAGTTGCAAAAACAAGGTCAAACAATATCTATACAACGAAGGAGACTGCGACCACACAAAAGGCCACACCATCTTAGTCTTCATACCTTCGATATACTTAAATTTTATTAACAGATAAAAGCTCAACACTTTTTTTCCAAAAACAGAAGTAGGTTACATTAGCCTACTTGTATCATTAAGGTCAAACAAAAGCAGGCCAAACGGAACCCATCGGAGCTATCTTGGTGAGATGACATGCAGGCTATACATAAAGATTTCACACTAAATCAAAGTAAGCTCAGTTAAATTAATGCTGTTGGACCTGTCGTTTGAGTAAAAAACTTAGATGAAATGGAAAAAAGGAGACAGTGGGATCTTAAGATTGAATACAAGGAGATCTTCTAAGCCAATGACCTCTATTTGATATTTGTGTACTCATATTATAGCGTAAATGAGAGGGAGGAATGCAGTCCCTTGAAGAAGAGGCTATTTGGATAGAAAACTAAGTATGAAAATGAAAGGGCTTAGAAATCGCGAGTAGCTGGGCAGATTCAATATAGAAAGATGAATTGGTCTTAAACCCAATATTTAGCAGAATAATACGATTGAAGATAGGAGTAAACAGAGAGTAGAATGAGAGGAAATCAAACGGATCAATTTTGATCTCTAGGGCGCGTTGGCATGACGAATCAGAGAGTAAGAGAAGACTTGATTAGCCTGTAATATAAATCTGAGTCTAACTAGTCCAAATGACTCCGAGACCTAGTCAGATCACAAGTCGCAACTGAATCAATCTTTCTTCGGTTTTAGGGAAGGCCAATTGAGAAATCCATTCCACCTAACCATTCAGAGAAAAGAAAGCTTCTTACTCACGACAGTGATTACGAAGCCGACAAAACGTCTGTGAATGTATCCAGATAACGGCTTGATACTGAAAACGAACGGGACTGGGTACATTCCACAAGGTTTTCTTTCCGCCCGAATGAGTTGTGATAATGAGATCGAAGCAATACTATCGAGAAAAAGAGGTGACAAGACCTAGGGCCACCACATCATCTTGTTCTTCGTATCTATCACGCTTTGAAAACTACTCTTATTGGTAACACATTGATAAAGCCCAACTGTTTGTTCCCAGGTCGTGGTAGCTGCTTGTGGCGCCTGATCTTCGAGTGCTTACATGTGATTAGGGACAGAAAAATATGTAACTGTGCAAGCTAAAATTAAGACTTGACGAAAGTGGCCCATGATTACGTCACTTTCGGGTCCGCATTTGTCGAAGCTAGTCGGCCTGTGGGACGAGCGCCACTTCACCGGCATATCTTCATCTCATTTCTGCCCTCGCTCCTCCGTCTGGACCGGTGGGTTTCCCATCTCTCCTTCAACTGAAAAGGCCTTTCTGGTCCAGAGGCTGCCCTTCGTATGTGGCCACCACGGTTTACACCAAAGGCTCCAGCTTCTCGGACCTGTGGCGTCATGGTCAGCTGTTCACCTCGAGTACAGCCCCGTGCGACGTGTGTCAGCACAGAGGCCGGTGTTACGGTACGACGAGGAACGGAATGAACGGGTCTGGCAG